ACCATGTCTAGGTAAGGATAATAATAAGTACACAACCCAAATTTCAAGTTTTTACGAATGTTTTTAACCGATTTGAAGCAACATTTCTGGTAGAAAACGTCGTCCGTAATTATTTTATATTATARAATCGTGAAATCGTACGTTTTTTCTGCTTTAACCGCTTTTATTTCGAGTACCGTTTCAAAAATCGAAAAATGACATGTTTAAAGTACCAGMTCAAGAACATAACCTTTCAGAAAAGATGCTACACTTGATACGTTTGAGCAAGTTTAGAGGGGGAATTATAAACAAATTATATCACAAATTATAAACCTACTTACCAAAATCTGTTTTATTTTTAAATAAAATAATTTATATATTTTCAAGTTATTGAGGTTCAATAAATTTACCTAATATGTTTAAGAAAATATACTCTTTGAAAATGGTACTCATCTACAATAACCTACCCCACTTCACCCTGATTAATATAACTACAGGTGATAATTTTACAAGAATTTAAAAACTTCACCTTCAAGTTCGTCAATACGTCGTCTTTTCCGTATATCAACGAAATGGGTACTTGTATGGATGTCATGTCGTACGTTGGAGGTTCAGTAGAATTGTAATGTTTTAAATTCATCATCGGACCGTAGTCGTACCGGCTAAAACAGTCTACACATTGAATTTCAGATCATGAAAATAAAATTTAAAAAATATTATAAAACATAGGTAATATTAGAAAGATTTCTGAGTAACTATTTTATGATTAATTATGAATACCTTTCAATACAAGTTGTGAGAAGTGCGTGGTTAGTTTGGAMGACGTTCCCGCCGGAAAGTGTTCAATGACAAGTGGTATTAATTTCTATATATAACACGTCATGACGACAAACAAAATATATCATAAATCAATAATCACCTTTTCCTCGTATAATTAATAGGTATCATAAACGAGTTCATAAAATATAATTATTACATTGTCGAAAATATACGTTTCACTACCACACACGGAAGACGCTACGTAAGATATGCATTTTTGGCAAAACAAAGTTCGCGCAATTTTTTCTCCGTACGTGTTAGTTACCAAAAATGATTGCATCCTCGATTGAGGCATAAACATTCCATTCGAAACCCATTGATACAGAATCTAAAAAGAAAACATTTAAACATAAGCTCCTAGGGTTTTTAAGAAGATTAATACATT